AGCCATAAATATACATACCATATGAATAAAAAAGCATTTCCCCCAAATCATTATAGTTCATTTGTAATGTTTATCTCTTTACTATTAATAATGCAGAAACAATTGTAATAATAATAGTCTTAAAAACAATACTTAGTTCATGACTATCATAATATATGCTAAGCAACATAGAAAGACTAGGTAGTGATTCTCACTGTTAAACTTCACAGCAAATCTATTAAGTATAATCATTCTATTTTGTATACGGAGAGATTGAGACAATGGGATTTTATTTTATTTTATTTTTTTAGACTTGAAATTCATGCTGAGTGAGTTATTTTGGGGATGCACCTGGTGTTGAGTTTCGAGCCACCAGGTTCAGTACTCCAGTCATGCTTGGTCATGTGTGAGTCTGGCAACATAACCCCTACACCATCTGCTGGCCCTGATAATGGATTTTTAATTGCTGAAAAATAATGGTTGGGCAATTTGCTTCCTCAACATTTTCTCCAGGGCTGCTACTGTTTAATTGTATGTCACAGCTGTTTCCCAAAACATTCTATTTATGATTGTTACTGTTATTCATAGTGTGAGTTACAACTTTTAAACTGTGGGACCAGTAGTTAGTGTAATGACTATGTCGCTGGACTCCCACATAGTCAACCGCGGTTCTTAAACTCACGCCGGGTGCATGTGCATGCATGCCCAAGATCTCGAGAGGAGAATGGAAGAGAAGGGATTGCGGCATGGCCATCCCCTCTGGGCTGATTTCTCATTTTCTGTCTCTCTGTCTCTCTCTGTCTGTCTGGCGAGCACACATGCCCTATAGCAAAAACCTCTCCCCCCCCCCAAAAAAAAAAGAAATTTAGCTGGACTATTTCCTTCTTTTGTAAGTCTCTTCCCCTTCACCCCCACTCATTCTTCATCTTCATTAAACAGGCAATTGACCTGTCTCTGAGGATTGAGTGACAGAATTGGGTGAGCCTGTAGTCTGTGCTCTGTATTACTTGGCTGATCCAGAAATAATATCATCTCATCGCCTTTCTCTGGGTGGAATTCTATCCTTTTGCACCCTCTGTTGAATTTCGATGGAGTATTTGTCTTGGAACAACTTATGACCCATGTGTAAGTTTCAGTCTTAACTCTACAGCCCTGAAACCTGACCCATTTTATCTTACTATTTGATTCTGACATTTCTTTTTATAACCAAAGAATAAAGACATTTACCAATTACATTATTTTTTTAGAGAGGTTTTTAACATAGGGTGTGTAAGCTCACCAGAAAACAGAGACAATGAGACAGAAAGTGAGAAATCACCTCCCTACATGCAGTGGCGATGGCCATGTGGCAATCCCTTCTCCATTCTCCTCTTGAGATCTTGGGCACACACACGCACGTGCCCGGTGTGAGTTTAAGTCACTGGGTTCGGGAGTGGAAGAGTGGTCAACTACACGGGAGTCCAGTGACTGTATATTCTGGTTATCAGTTCTTTTATCAGAGACATAGTTTGGAAACACATTCTTCCATTCTAAGAGTTGCCAGTTAATTCTAACTATTGTCTCTTTTGCCAAGTTGAAGCTCTTTGTTGTTTTTAATAATTATTTTTTCTATTTCTTTTATTTGTTTGTTTGTTTGTTTATTTATTTATTTATTTATTTTAATTTGACCTGAGAGGGACATAGTATGAGATAGAGAGTGAGACAGATATTGAGAGGGAAAGTGAGAAAGCAAGCCACCAGTTCCAGGACTAAAACGATGGTCAGCCATGTGGGAGTCCAGTACCCTTAACCACCATGCTACCTGCTGGTCCAATCAGAAGCTTTTTAATCTGATGTAATCCCTTTGTATATTTTTGAAATTATTGCCTGTGCTTTAAGACTCTTGTTTAAGAAGTTTTTGCCTACTCTGATATCTCTAAGAGTTATTCCTGCATTATCTACCTGTAGTTTTACAGTTTTTAGTCTTAGATTTAGATATTTGATACATTTTGAGTTGTTTGTTAATTGCAAGAAATAGGGGTCCAGTTTCATCTTTCTGCAGGTGGATACTCAGTTTTTCCAGTACCATTTGCTAAAGAGGTTTTTCTTTTCCCCACTGGATTGACTGATGACTTTTCTTACACTAAATATAGCATCATTTCTTGGTATATAAATTTCACTTGAGAGTTTTGATTAAAGTGTCCAATAAATCAATTTATTGGTAATATTAAATATTATGGTGACACTTAAACAATTTAGTTATTCACAATTTATTTTCAAATCTGCTGAATATAATGTACTTAAGCAAAAGATTGAATGAATCTGTGAGGAAAGTTCCATCATATTGGGATGTATGCTGAAAAAATGCAACATTGTGTGTATGTAGAATAGTTTACATGTTGAGGGTGATGGGAAGGTTGAAAAAGAAAAACAATAAAATATATTAAATGGCTATGCAACTTTACCAATTATTTTCAAAAAAACAATATGAATAATAAAAAAATATAAAGTAGATATAAAGTAGTGGGGATCAGAAAATTTCTGTAAAAGATCAGTTTTGGGGACCAGCAGGTGGCATGGTGGTTAAGGCACTGGACACTTCCACATGGCCTACCATAGTTTGAGTCCCAGACCTGGTGGCTTACTTTCTCACTTTCTCTCTCTCTTTCTCTCTCTTTCTCTCTGGGTCAAATTAAAATACATGAAGGAATAAATTAAAAATTAAATAAATAATTATTTAAAAATAAATAAAAGATCAATTTTAAATAATTGACAAGCTGATACAAGCTCTTTTTCAGACTGTAATAAAGTTTAACTAGTTCTGCCCTGTGAATACTTGGGTAAAGAATTTTGAAGAAACATATCAAGAATTTGGAAAAAAAACTTGTGAACTAAGACTTTCTATAACCATGTAAATGTTTTCATTGTTCATGCTTGACAAAGAACTGATAATAAATGTTCTCAACCAGGCACAAGACTATTCTCAAACAATGTTTCTACAAAATATCTCCATCTGAGATAGGAGAAATAGAATAAAGAGCTAAAAAATAATTTCATGAGGCAATAATATAAATTTAATACGAAGCTTGCATACTTCCATAAGTAATTCATTGTTGGAGGATAATTTGCATAATATAATAATAACTTGGATATAAGTTTACATATTATATAAAGAAACCATAAATATAGCTATATAACAGTGGAATAATATAATGTTAATGCCATATATCTTACTTGAAAAGGGCAGCATTAAATTAAATTAAATTAAATTATTTAAATACTTAAATTTATTTTTTAAAAGAATTATTTACTTAATTTTATTTATTCATATATTTTATTATTTAATTTGATCAGAAAGACAAAAAGAGAGAGAGAGAGTGAGAGAGAGAGGGAAAGTGAGAAAGCAAGCCACCAGATCCAAGACTTGAACCATGGTCGGCCATGTGGGAGTCCAACGCCCTTATCCACCATGCCTCCTGCCAGCCCCTTAAATTTATTCTTAATAAATACATTCACTTTAAAATTTTACATGTCAGGGGACCAGCAGTTAGCATAATGGCTATGTTGCCGGACTCCCATGTAGTCGACTGTGGTTCGAGTCCCAGACCCAGTGGCTT